TAGAAAATTATAACAATACATATAATTAGTTTTTAAAATGTTTTTCTGGAAAATAAACATAATTATAGAACAAAGATTGACAATATGACAATTTTATTATACTGATGATAAATTAGTTGATTTGAAAACTTTTAATGTTATTCTAAAAGCAAAAATACCGAAGTGCAGATTGAAAATTGTACTCAGCATTCACTGCTGTTGACAAATATGTGAATTACTAAAAATTGTATCGAATAAAAAAACTTCTGTTGTTTTAGTAATGATGCTTTTAAGAAGTGCAATACCTTTTAATTTGAATGGATTTATTCTAGAAGAAAGTTTATTCATCGATTAAATTAAATATTCATATGATGCAATTGATATTCGTCGTAAGACATGATATTGTTATATAGAATATATTTGGTAGATTATGCTACAATTAATACAATTTGATCACAAATGGTAATACACAAATACTTATGAATAACATATAACAACTGAAGATTTAATACCGCCAACCGCAAATGTTAGTCATTCATATATGAAAAAGCCATGATTCAAATATGTAGATTCAAATGATTAATATTCTTCGTAGATTGGTTTTATTACATTATTAATTTGAATATTAGTAGTATGATTTTCTCTTAAACGATCCAACCAGGATGTTTTTCTATAATGAATTTTATTTTGTTGAGTTTAATTTGATACATATTCGGAACTGAAAACATCTTTTATTATCAAAAATGTTATTGATATTATGTGTACATTATTATCGATTTAATGGATAATCTTTGCCTTTGAAACGTTGATATTTGTATCATTAGAGGACGAAGTGCATTACCATTTTTGTGATATTTTTCTACATAAGTATAGCCAATACATACAGATTAAATTATTGTCTTACTGATTTTCGTGCAAAATTTTATAGTTCAAATGTAGAGTTAGCACATTGATACTGCTTTAACGATTATTTGCAACAATAATAGTACTTCTTTGACTGCTTTAAAATCTGAAAGGGAATAATATATATTTGTTTGTATTGTGAAGTTTCCTTCTTATCAAACTTGATGATTATTTGCTATATGAATTAAGTAATCTGCGTTGTATTAACAATTGTTTCTAAAATTATGAAAAGCATTTAAATATGTACATAAATTAAGTTTTTTTTAAAATGATTACTCTAGAAAATTGTTTTTATTCCAATCCAAGTATGATAAATGTTGTTTAACTTTCGTAATAGGTCAAACATGTAATTTTTAAGTTTTCTGTGTTTTGGAAATAACAAATCATTTATAATTACAATTCATAATTTGAAAATATTAATTTACTTTCAACGAAATAAATGTTTGAATAATTATAATAAATGCACGTTTCTTTACTTAAAGACCCTTGAGTGTATACGTTTCTTTGTTGATATCAACTTTCACGAACCAAATAATCCAGGTTTCTTCTTATCTGCGGATAACAAAAGACCACTATTTTTTTGTTCAGAAAGAGGGACTAAAATGCTTTTGTTTTCTTTACAATATTTAACCCCTCGAAACACTCCAAAAGAAGAACAAGATCTATAGTCCACTAAGAATACTATGCTTTACTTCTCGAATTTAGATGTTGCATGGAATAATTAAACATTGGTAAACTTAAAAATAAACTGTTTTTTTTTCTCTCTCAAAGTAGTATATCATTTTCTGTTTTAAATAATTTGTTTTCTGCAATTAAAACTGATATAATTGGTATAAATTGTCTTTGTCGCATGCAAATAGTTCTCTTTCACAGATTCTATTTGTTTGCCTTGTTTTTTTTTTATAATTTGAGTTATTTATGAAGCTAATTATGCACCTAATAATAAAATTAATTTCAGACTATTTTTTGTTGTTGTTTCTCTTTCTATCGTTTTGTCTATTGCTTCCACGGACTTGCGAGAATGCGAGTTTAGCCATTTAGAAAACCGGTCTCTAGTTTTTTTGGGTGACAGTGAACTACACATATCCATACAGTCGTTAAAATCGCATTTTGCAATGCAAAGAATATATTTCTGGTTTAATCAGGTTTTTTTTTGTTTAGTATTTCCAGCCAAACTTGAATAAATTATTTAGCGATGACAAACATCGCCATTTTGAATTAGAGAGAAAAATAATAAAGTGTGAATCTTGAGATATTTACAAAACTATTACCATTTGATTTTTTTATTATATGCAACTTTGTAACATATAAATTTATGTTTATATTAATATTGTATTAAAGAGTTTATATTTTGATGATTTATTATTATCATTAATAATTTAAAATTTATTCAATTTTCGACTTGGTCACAAAATATACTGTTACCTTAAAATAGAAAATTAATGTACAACAATACTTCGCACAGTGCAGTTTTGTTAATGATCTGGATTCACTATAGTCCGGTTTGGAAATTGCAAAACTGAATTTTAATTTAACAAAATAAAAATATGTAATAATTATTGCAACAATTATACAATTGTATAATATAATTATAATAATTGCATTATTGAATTATCCGAGAACTTTCAATTATTTCCTAATATTTTTTTTGCATCTTTTAATTAATTACCTGTCATTTAGATTCACTAAGCAAGCAATCAACATTCTTTGAATTAGCGTTCGCGCTTTTGGCTCCGCACCGACCTTAATTTATTTGAAGCAAGCCAATGGTTGGAATTTTGTTTTTGCTCTTTGTGTACAGGAACGTGCGCCAAATTAACACGCATTGACCAACAAATGGTACTAATACGGTCTTGTTGGGTGGTTTCAACGTGTAAATCACTCGTGGTTGTAATTATATTTTTTATAAAACAATTTTTTTTGAATTTATTTTTATCAAATTTAGGAAATTTTCAACTTGATTATACTGACTGATTGCGAGGGTATTGCTGAATTTATTTACTTTGTAAGAAAGGTACATACAAAACAAATTAACTTAACTTAACATCGAGACTTTTTTATAGTAATGATGAATACATTTCTTTCAATACCTTTTAATTACACGTGTGACCTAGATTAATAAAAAAAATAGGAACGAACTGTTTTGACATGAATAATCTTTAAAAAGAATCTTGATTTTATAAACTATGACTTAAAATTTAGAATTTGATAAACATGCAATTCTAGTACACAAATAAAAATTTAAATACAGAGATTATTCATTTGAAAAAAGCTTAGGATCATTGGTATATCAAACAAAATATAAACAAATATTTGAATATCCAATTCAAAGAAACATCTTAAATTGATTGATTAAAGTTGCATACTTCTGGCTGCACTTCATTTTTTTTTATTACGTAATGAATGTGTGCGGATTGTTTTAATAATTACCTTGGTCTAGGTCAAGAATATTTAAATATTTGCAAGTTTTCATCGACAATATTTTGCTCCACCTCTGTCAACTCCAAAATGACAAATACGAATATGTTATCTTATTTGTTAACACGGCCGAGCAGATAACAAACGCGAAAACAGATCCATAGATATCAATGGGATATATACACAGTTAATTGAAATAATTGTATCTGCGAAGTGACTGTTTGTTGTTTTTATTTTTATAATATAAGATAAAAACGTCATCAAATGTGAACCGATTTACTAATTCGAAATCGCCAGTGATATTATGAACTTTACGTAGCGATGATGATGATGGAACTAAGTTTTTTTTTATAGATATTATTCTGGAAAGTTTATAAATATAAATGTTTGTTAATTCATTCACAGATTTCTCTCACGAAGTAATAAAAACCAACTTAATTAGTAGCAATATTTAGTTAAGCCAGATATAACTGCATCCATTTCTAAATTAATATATAAGATTATTTTCTGCTTGAAAATATTTCATTATGTTTTTTTTTCTAACATCTATGTTTAACAAATAAATTAGCGAAATACTGTCATCGCTCGGAAAACGAATGGAAAATTTTCAGTATAAAATTTTCCAAAGAAAACAATTTCGTTACACATTTTACGACCGCACTCGTAATTGTTGATTTTTCTTACTTATCAGAATACAATCCAATTTTATATAAACTAGTTTATAATATCTAAAATATTAGTTATAATTAATTGTTAGTAATTGTTAATATTTAATTTTTTGAAATATAATTAAGCAAATTCAGTAGAAATATTGTATCACTAAGAATATTTATATCTAAATGATATAGCATAAATTTAGAAAAAAAATGTACATTTCCATAAAGTAGAAGTACAGCTTATGGAGATGTATAATTTATTTATACTTTTTTTTCAATTACTATATTAACAGGAGTTTTCTTATTTACAAAAGATTACTGATATTTTCTTTTAAATATTTAATTATTTTTTGAATAATAAAAATCCTTAAACTAAATCTTTAAAATTTTGTAATAATTCATTAAATATATAAGTATTCATTGTTATCTCTCATTCTGTTAATATTTACTTTTATTATATGCTTAAATAGACTTCACAAGCATATATTTAACAATTATTTACGGGTGTGAATTTGAAAATCTTTATGTGAAATAAAAATTAGTAATCTTTCCAATACAATTGCAAGTACTTTTGTATAAATTACAAAAAGAACGAAAGCGACGAATAATTGTTTTTTTTTATTGTGTAAAGTAATTTTAAAATATTTTTAACATTTATTTGTTTGCAATAAATTAACAATTAAAGAAGAAAATTGTTATTTTCTAAATACAATGTTTTGCCGAGCGACATTTGTTTGTTCGGCGAATCGATCAGAGAGCAAAGGTTACTGCAGCTCCGATTTATTAATAAAACAATAAGAGCCGAGTCCGTCATTGCACATAAAATATAAATAACGTAAAGCGATTGGGAACGAAAAATAATAATAATAATGGTTGTATTTTTTCCGTGACCGTCCTTCCTCAACGTAAAAACGCATGCAATTTTTAGTGTCGCCGAGTTGTGTGTTTATTTGTGTAAGCAGCGATAATACTTTGCTAGAGAGCATCTAGTAGATAGATGGATATACACGTCTATATTGGTGTTTGCCCTGTGTCGGCGCTACTGTAGATTAGACCTTGCATATCAGAGCCGTATCAAAGCTCAGTTGCGTGGAAACAGCGCGCTGGTCGCCGTCGCCGCTGCCATGTTTCGTGCAATTCCAATATTATAAAGCAGTGAACAAGTGTCTCCATTCAAAGTTGAAATATTGCAATAATTTGCACTCAGCAACGGAATTGTTAATATAGGAATGGTGCAATAGAGGATGTACAGTGGAAGTGCAGTGCATACGAAAATAACTAAATCCCTCTAGTTCTCCAAATATTCCCATCCTCCGATTTGTGTCTGAAACTACCAGTGCAGTTGATAAACAATATAAATGTATAACTCCTATACAAATGACCATTCGGACAATTGCAGCTGTTACAGCATAATGAATCCATCACACTGGTATAACGCACCGATCCCCGTATCCCAATACAACTTTATTGTGGATACGCCACCTAGGTCAGTTTTTCAAATATTAACTATTATTATTATTTATATAACCTATCCTTATCTAATGCCCGCTTTCAGATTATACTACATCTATTTATCCTCACCTGTCAACAACAACAAAAAACACCTTGTCTAATGACGAAAACAAAATGCGCAACTTTATTTTTGTTTTAATTATCCATGATTATATTACTATCAACAGACCAAAAAATTCAATTCATTTTGCATTGCGCGCAGTTTTCTCCGCACGTCCATAATTTTCCACTCGTTGCACACGGAAAAACGAGTTGGTGCATTCGCGAAAACTCGCTAATTAGCAAATCAAACTTTGCCCATTTATATCGAAACAACATTAATTATTCCAGCACAATCTCAAAAGCCATACATAATTCAATATTATAATTCAAACGTAACGAAATTTCCTAATTGCTATTTTATTGGGATTCTGAATCGTAGATATTATTTGTCTTTAATAAACCGGAATAGGTCAGGTTTTCGAGTACATCTACCTGGGCATGAATGGGCAATTTCTGTGATTCTTTTAATGAATTGTTTAAAAAAAAGATTCCACAATATGGGGTTTCGTTTCAGCAATCTACGTAGCCGTGTCGGACTTCTTCCCCTAACTCAAACAGACAGGATTGCGTCGTTGGAGGGTGTTAGTTAAAACCTCCCGTACCAAAAATACGACAGCCTTGACCGAGCGATTGGTCTCTCTGCGTTTCTATTTTTTTCCTCGCTTTCAATTTAACCTGTTGATATTCATATGCCGATACCATAAAACCCAGAGCTCGCCAAAAAAAAACCTATTCCGATGAAGATTTCAACGCTAATAATATCGCAACAATTTTAAAACAAGAAGAAAAACAAAAATTGGTACTTCCGGGAGCGCAGCAAGGAAGTACTAATTTTACATGGACCTTTAAACGTTTTATATCCAAGTGGGTCATATTTTTTTCTATTGGTGCTTCGGATCGGAACTACTACTGATATGATAATAGTTAGTCGGAAAGACAGATACTGACACCATTCAAGTAATATTATACCACCATTACAAGTAAATACAGTGGAACCTCGCTTAACGAGCACCTCGCATAACGTGGAGGATTTCGCTTAACGAGCAAAATAAATTGTAAGAAAAATACTCGCTTAACGAGCGATAAGGAGAAGATAAGTCCCGGATTGTGCGCTTGCTACATCATGTTCAAAAGTTGAGTACACATATTACGTTTTTTTGAATAAATTAACTATTTTCGATGTTTGCTGGAAAAACACAACAAAAATGTATTGTGTCCAACCTTTATTATAATATATAATCAAACTGTATACGCTTTTCTATATGAACAAATATTAACAGTATAAAGAGACCCCGGATCGATACCAGTAATATAAACAAATGGAGTAATGCGTAAACTCTTTAGAACGTATGTGAATTGGCAAACAGTTTCTGGTGTTACTAGTCATCCTGGTTGCATCTTAGTGTTGTTATACTTTTTTTTCCGGCATGGAACGCATTATCGTATTTTACTTTAGTTAATATGGGAAAAACTGTTTCACTATACGAGTAAAAATTCAGAAAATTTGGAACTAGTAGTTCACAGTAACCAGTGATCATGGCCTCCACTTATTTGTGTTTTAAATTATCAGTTTTCTGGTACTTGCCTTACACTTCATTACTAAATGCACAATGGTTTGTTGACTGCCATTCAAAATAATTATGCAATAATTGTTTTATGTTATCATTATTTCTAATTATAATTCAATAATATTGTACACAACAATTTACACGTTGGTGGGAAAAAAGGCGTAATGTATTTTATTGTTATTAGGAAAGTTTCATATTAGATTTTAATCATGCGATACAACAATCAATAAACATATCTAAAAACTGATATATAGTTTTGGAAAGGAATAGTTAATAATGGTTTTATTGTATTTGTCACGTCTGATACAATTTTATCTATGATTGATGAGATTTGAAAAGCTAAATAAAAATGACATCTATTTAAATTAAATTATTTTCATTTATAAACTTTAATTGTCATGGTTTTCATTTTTTGTTATTTATAAAATTAATTATACTTGAAATATTAACATAGATTTCATACCATATTTTAGTGCGGGTAATCGGTTCCGCTAGTATCTCGGATTATTTGAAACCGGACTAGATAAAATAGATCTAAACCGCACAAAAAGAGAGTTCACTATATAAAGGGAAAACAAATTATAATTTATGTATACAAAATAATTTTATGCTCAAATTTTTTAAAATTTATTTTGATTTCATTCAATTTTGAATATTCGTATTCGTAGAATAACAACTACATAAGACTGAAATGATTCATTGTATTAGATTTATATTTTTGTTTCAATTAAATAACAATATTTAATTACGAAAATAAATAACTTGAATTTTAAAATGGAATTGTAAATAAATATTGGACAACGTGAATGAATCAAATAAATCAACAAAATAAGAACGAACGATGTACTTGTTATATTTTTAAATCTGTATGAACTTTATTATATAAAAAAAATTGGCAAAAAAAACATGGTCGATAGCCAACTGCAGGTTCGATAAATATATTATTATTACAATTATTTCAAAAGTGAGAAAAAATAAAACGTAACTAATGTGGAGCTCTCGACCAAAGTCCGTGGACTTAAAAATAAGTAAAATATGTTTCATTGAAAATAAATGTTTTCGGTTCTTTCCTAAGATAGGACGACAATCGTATCACGTTTAATATCTGCTGCAAATATTCGCAGTCGGCAATTTACTAATGATATAATCAACAAATTAAAATAAATGTCTTGGCATTTGTTAATTCGACGACGAAGCACAAATATCGAAACTACTTTGCAACACGCATTCTGCTTATTTTCTCTAACTAAAACAAATTAAGATATTATTTCAATTATTTAATGGATTAAATATTACGTACTTTATGATAGGAATAATGAAAATATAAGAAGAAATTAAAAAAATGTGGTTGCATTACATAATTAAGTAAGTTAGCACATTCAGATCAAAGATCATGTTGAAAAGTCAATATATGTGCATAATATATAATAAATAACAATAAACAATGTAATATTTTTTATATCACTGCAATTACTTACAAAATATTCGATACGGATTTTTATCAAAAATAAATTGGACCTCGATACAAAAAATAAGTGCAAAAGAAAGCATACACAAAATACTTTTTTTTTGTGAAGCGTAGCACAACAAAATGTAAAAATAACTTCTGCAATACAAATTGTAACTCGCAGGGTTGAAGACACTAAACAAACGAACTTATGTTATTATACAAGCTCGACTCAATGAAGTTTTTAATTGAAATCTGAATTATTTATTAATTGTAGTTACAAAGTCATATACTTTTACATTCATATTCTATTACATTTTACATAAAAAATATATATTTATCTCATTAAATTGTCTTTGTTAATGTGTCTATCAATTTTTAAATTAATTAGTGTTTCTTCACTTTGACTTGTTTTTTTTTATAATAATTAAATTATGTTAGTAAATAATCGAAGTCAAAGCATTTCAACGTAATGAAATAACTGCTTAGATTTTTGTTTGTTTATAATTAAATTTATTGTAGTTCTTAATAGATACAGTTTTTTAAATTAAATAATTGATTTATAACAAAATCGATTTCATACTTGACGATGAAAATAATATCATTATTTATTCATTATTAACAATACTATCTACATATTAGATTACTTTAGTCTACAAATACAGACTTTGTAAATATATATATAATTCTCTGACTAGAAATATATTATAAATAATTATACTTATCGTATTATATATTTATATTTTTATGTCAATATTTGTACTGAGAATATATATCGACCAGAAATTTTCAATATTCTCAAACCTGTAAAAATTTAATCAATCACAATAGTATCAGATATTTTAAATATTTCCTGAATCGGTCAATAATAGACTAGATTTCTACATATTCTACAATGAATTAATTTTCTTAGGTCACATGGAGAGAGGAAATAAATGCCTTCATATGACATAGTAGTTAGTAAATAATTCAGATTGAACATTTATTTAGCTGAATAATACTTGAATGAATAAAGGACAAAAAGCGTCACTATTTTCTCTACATTAAAAATTTTCCAATTTAAATAAATTTTAATTAAAAGACAAGTAAATTTTGTTATTAATATTATATATTTTTTGATTTGTTAATTATTTTTGCTTATTTATTTTACTTTTTATATCTTGCATAATTATTGCAATAAATATTATTGTTTCTGACGTTTGTTTAGTCTGCATGGTTCAATTCTATATCTAATGCTCTTAATGTGCGAAAAATATGTGTCATAAATTTGAAGTGTGTCTTGTAGTTGAATATAGTTATCTAAAATATACAGTACTTGGAATTTTGTTTTTTAAAACTTGAATAAAAAAAAATATTCATTTATAATAATGGTTTCTAAATTAAATGATAATTAAGCGGAAATAAAAGCAAATTTAATTACAATTATATAAATTAGTGTTCGTTATAGGTTAATAATGTCAGAACAAAATAAATTAAATTCTAAAAAATAGTTTTTTTTCCTTTCTATAGTCCAGTCGCTTTTTGTGCAGTTTTTTTAATTCCGGGATATTGGTGGAACCGATTACCTGCACTATGCTTTTACTGTGCTTTTAATCTATATGATTTACTTTTCTAATAAAGATCTGTATATAATTGTTTAAGGGTGGAAAGACTGAAGTCTATGTTATTTTAAATAATCGTCAAAATGTATGATCGATATGACGTAATAGTGTGTGTTTTTCTTTATTACAATTGGACATGACTTGAAGTCGCCAACAGACACAAGCATAAATCTGACCTACAATTTTGGCTAGCCAAAACATAAGGAAACGAATTTTATTCGTCTAATATTAGATGAGCTGCAGCATAACAAATAGAAATAAACACCCGATTCTCTTAAACATTATATCACGAACTTAATTATTTCTTTATTTGTAT